TTTCAGACACATTTGTCTCATTTTCTCACTGTTAGTAAAACTGTCACAGAAAAGATAACATCTTACATTTTTTTAGTATCATGATTTGCATCAATACTTCTCACTTCGCAGACATTCAGTAGGACCTATTTGTGTCACTAAGACCTTTAAAATCAGCCATAGAGACTTGAGCATTGTGCTGAACTGGAATTAAATCATTCCTAAATTGTGGGTAATGTAGTACTCTAGAATTCTTCTAACAAACCTATAGAGAAGTATTCATCTTGGTAGTACAATGTGCACAATCTAAGCCAAGGTACATAAAACTTTTAAAGGTATGCAGGCTTCTAAGAAGCTGGTCTGTAATAATTATCACTTGAAGTTCTAGGTACTTAAACAGATCTAGTTTCTGGCAAAATATCTGAGTATTCTCTTACAAAAATAGGCCCTGCACTAAAAGTAAACCATGCTGTATGTAAGTTTTTGAGTCTCAAAATGCCTGGAAACAGAGATCAGAGCATTCCCAAGTGTTCACACAAGATCAAACTAAAGGAAATTAAATTGGCATCCTCTGTTCAAATACTTTCTTCCAATCTCAGTGCTTTGTAGCACCAAAAGATTTAGCTATCACAAATTATTATCTGATCTTTATAGATACTACCCCCTTCAGACTTTATTATTTAATTTTGTGTTGAATGTTGCATCCAAGTAAACCTGTTCAGAATTTGAACTCCAGACTTAAGGAAGAAAAAAATTGATCCACGAGGGCCAAATACATCATGTACATAGAGACACATACATACATACACCTGAAGGTTCTTTGCATTTGAGAAAACAGAGTTTATCATTCTCATTCCAATATCTTTACCCTAGCATAATAGACTAAACTGTATGGAGTCTGTGTTTAACATAGTGCGGTAAAATTATATATCCTAGGTTGGGTTAATTCTTAGGGAATATTTTTTTAAAGTTTATAAAAATGAAATTAAAATTTATTTTGATACAAAATATTGAAATGCATGCATTTAACAAAAAATCGTTAGAATTCTCATATGAATGGATTTCAAAATGCCAACAGGCAAAATTAGCATTAAAAAAATTTTCATTTCATTGGAAAGGTAGATTTACAGAGAGAAGAGACAAAGATCTACCGGCTGGTTCACTCTGTAAATTGCCCTGACAGCAGAGATGGGCTGATCCAAAGCTGAGAGCCAGGTACACCCTCCAAGTCTTGCACGCGGGTGCAGGGTCCCAAGGAGTTTGGCCATCCTCGACTGCTTTTCCAGGCCACAAACAAGCAACTGATTGGGAAGTGGAGCAGCCTGGCCATGAACCAGCAACAACAGTGGATGCTGGCACTTGCAGAAAATTAACCAATTGAGTTATCATGCCAGCCCAAGCACATCTTTTAATTCCACTTTTCACACAACTTGTATTTGTAGAATAATAGTTCTTCAAAAGTACTGTGGAAAGGGCCCGGCACGATGGTGCAGTGGTTAAGGTCCTCACCTTGCACGCCCGGGATCCCATATGGGCGCCGGTTCTAATCCTGGAAGCTCCACTTCACGTCAAGCTCCCTGCCTGTGGCCCGGGAAAGCAGTTGAGGATGGCCCAAAGCCTTGGGACCCTGCACCCGCGTTGGAGACCCGGAAGAGGCTCCTGGCTTCGGATTGGCATAGTATCGGCCCGTTGCGCTCACTTGGGGAGTGAATCATCAGATGGAAGATCTTCTTCTCTGTCTCTCCTCTCTGTATATCTGCCTTTCCAATAAAAATAAAAATAAATCTTAAAAAAAAAGTACTGTGGAAAATAGGGATAATGGCAAGTGAGAGAGCTCCCTGATGCCTAAAGCAGCATAATCCAAGCTAAAGCATAATTAGTCATCTGTGGCACACTGCACTCCTGTGAAGATGGTTTTCTATATTAGTGTCAGAAGAGGGACTAAGTCTCCTGGGTTATAAATTTGCATAAAGTATTGATTAAGAGGGATAAAGTAAATAAAGAAACAACAGCAAGCATAGCTTTTAACCACATGGTTGCTTAAACATCTTACATGGCTTAACATACAAAGATAATTTCTGTCACAGAATTCACTTTACTTTGTTTATATAAAGCATTTATTCTGTTCAAACTACCTTCCTGCACTTACTTTATTTTATCCATAACATTGGGTTGTTGAAGAAGAAAATGTAAAATATGGCTTTCTACTAAAAAATTCATGCATACATTTATAATGACGGATGTGTGCATCTCATGCAGTTCCTTTTAAACAATATAAAGTAATATATAGAAATAAAGATATGAGTAAAATAGAAGTACCCAGAATAATTGAGTGTGCTCTGTAGGGAAGCTCTGAATTAAAATCCACAAAATACAATTGCTGCTTCCCTTGCTTATGTTTGCAAAAGCCAAAATGGGTGTGGGATACTCAGGGCCAGGCCACAGGATTCAATGTGTCATGAGAGAGCTGGGTCTGAGGGTGACCCAGGCTGAACTAAGCTGTAGCATCCACCAATGAGGGCTGTCCTGTTTTTACAATTGGAGAAGTAATCTATTCCAGTGGAGAGGGGAATCTTTGGGGCCAGCACTGTAGTGTAGTAAGCTAAGCTTCTACCTGCTTCTCTGGCATTCCATGTGGGTACACTATTTGTCCTGGCTGCTCCACTTCCAATCCAGATCCCTGCCTGTGGCCTGGAGAATGAAGCAGATGATGTCCCTAGCTCTGGGGATCCTTAACCCATGTGGGAAGCCTAGAAGAAATTCCAGGCTCCTGGCTCGGGATTGACGTAGCTCTGGCCATTGTGATTTGTGGAATGAATTAGAAAATGGATGATTTCTCTTTCTCTGTTTCTCCTTTCTGCAACTGTGCTTTTCAAATAAACAAAAAGGAAAATGAAAGGAAAAAGACAAAGAAAGAAAAAGAAAATAAAAAGGAATAGATGATTTATTGAAAAGAATGCGTACCTTAATCCATGGATCAACACTCATCATGTTTATATAGACAATTTGAAACAAGAACCAAAGCTACATATTTGTTCTGCTCAAAGTCATGTCACATTGGGATTAAAATGGATGACTTCCTGTTTGAAGAACAATGATCATATTTTTATCGTTTTGAAATTTTTATGCTTTGATAATGCTACATAGGATGAGTTGAATGTCACAAATTCTGTCATTCTATGAAGAGGAATTATAACCTAATTATGCAATTTGACCATAATAAATATGTTGATACTGGGTATAAGGGCTCAGAATAACTAAAGTCACCCTCAAATGACCCTAGGCAAACGAGTGTTGCAAACTCATTGAATGGTATGCATTTGCTCACACTGGATCCCAAATGCTTTCTTGTTAATAATCTTTTTAAGCTTTTAACTTTATAACTGAACAAAGTGTCTACCACACAACATAATTGGTTATGGCAGGTGAATATAGATGGGAAAGTACATTGGAAAACTTTGAATCATTAAAGGCAAATAGCCGATTATTAAGCTTGCTTTCCTCAATGTTCTCAAAGGATAGTATGCAAAGATGTCAAACTTCTTTTACATAAAAATAAGAATTTTAATCATATTTTCTATTATTTTTGTTGAAACACGCTTGTACAGCTTAGCTCATCCTTAACTTTGCTGCTGATCTTTTTGTTTGATCTTCTGTGATTTATTTTCACAAAATCAGTTCTCTTTTCATCTCTCCCATAAGGAATTATCTAATTTGTAACCGGCAATGATTATTTGGTAAACTATGCCAGGTTCCATCATTTTCACGAAATTCTATAATAGACATCATGACTTAATTCCATGTCCAACTTTTATTTGGGAAACACCAAGATCTTTTCTTTTTTCATAACCCACATTTACTGCTTTTGGACTTTTCATCATAGAATTTTTGTTCAACATTTTGACGTTCCTTGGCATCAATTCCTAACACTCTGTCTGGATTGGTGTTTTTCAGACTATAAAATATTTGAAATAATTCATTCATGACTGTAGTACAATGCAGAGAATTTCTAGAAAGTTACATTTCTGTGTAGAAATGTAACTAGAGTGTCTCAAAGTCTTCAAAATTCAAATTCTTATGGAGAAATGACGAATCCCAAGTGCAGAGCTCATGCAGTCTGTTATCTAATGTAGATACTACGATTTTGACTAGCTCAGGTAACACGACAGAAAATTTTATATCTCAAAAAATGCAATTAGTCAAATGCAATAACTTCTCTAAGACAAGTCCTATGTATTTTTTTATTCCAAGATTTGAATTTGGCTCTGAAATGCAGTCTTGGCATCTTTGCTACAAATAATTTCTAAGCAATTCTCCTTCCAACATTATAGATTTCTGTCTATAGAGTAGCTGACTTAGTCATCATACCCTATCAATGGAGTAGATCTACACCATTTTCTGGGGATGTCTGAGAAAGTGTAAAATCTGACTACCTCCAAGAGCCTTGGGTCTAGATCTGTAACTAACTCTAGCAACATGGAAACTGCTTTTAAGCCATTATGCTCTTTAGGGAAATGCTCCAGTGTAAATTTCTGCTGTTATGCCAATGCACATATAACTGTTCTTATTCTAATGCTACAGTAATTATGACATTTATCCATAAACACACCATTTGTTTTTTTAACACAGATGAATACATAAATCTAGAATTTTGCTAACTGAAGACACTGTGAATAGGATACGAGATGGAGAAATAAGTTTTGAAAGTTGTGACTGACACAGCACAAGCAAGAAATGGAGATGAGATTGTCCTTAACAAGTAATATTCTTCTAGTTTTGTTTTTTCTACTACTTGCTTAATTATACACAACACAGTACTCATTTGCTGTAAAATAAAATTTAATCAATGTTTATATTTCAAAACTCATCTTAGTATCAATCAAACATTTCACATTAAACCTGCATCTGTTTATTATGGAAATGCTTAAGCACACACAAAAATATTGAGAAAAATATATTAATCTCTCAAGAAATCATCCCGTTAATTCGACGGTCCTTAACTTATATTAAACATTATTTTTGTGCTCGCTTCAGCAGAACATATAGTAAAATTGGAACGCTACAAAGAAAATCAGCATGACCCTTGCGCAAGGATGACTCACAAATTTGTGAAGCATTCCATATTTTTTAGGTTATTTAACTTCATGGCATTGTAAATTCTCTTTAACTTTATTCCTTTTGTTGATTTCGTTTTATGGCTTTCATTTAAGGAATGCATTAACTGTGTAATAAAGACTGTCATATCCAGATGTGAAGATATAATTCACTATGCATCTCTACTTTCAAATCAAAGATGGACTCCTAGTTGAACTGTTAAATGTTTCTTGACAATAGAATGCTGGACTGTCTACCATTGTCCCTATCTACAATGTCAGGATACACTTGTACACTTATATAGCAGAGTGATGGACTTATGACTGCTTATGAAGAAGGACTATACTGTTGTAATAACATAGGGGACATCAGTGGGGAGGGGAGAAATTTTGTGAGGGGGTACGGCAAATCCCAGAGCCTATGGAATTGTATCATGAAATTTTCAAAATTAAATTAAATTAAAATTGAAATTAGAACATTATTTCTTTGCTCATCCATTTTCTCCCATCACATATTATTCTCAGGTAAAACCTGGACATTATACCTTTATATTCATGATTATTTCAGCATGGAAATCTAAAGATAACACTTTTTAAACATTTTTCGGGAGGTGCAATTTACATATCACAAAATTTATCAATTTTAATTACATAATACATTGTTTCTCTAGATTGTGTGACCTTCACCACAATCAATTTAAGAATATTTTCATCATTTAAGCAAGAAGCTCTATAAATATTGCAGTCATTCTCTCCTTTCTCTTTCCTTTTGAATCAAACCTTTCTATTTCAGGCAATTACTCATCAAATTTCTATCTTCTTACATAGAGAAAAACATTTTAAACAATGAAAGATCACAACCAAGAATTTCTAATAGTTTCTGAATGAAATGTGTAATCAATGTCAAAATTTCCAAATATGTAACTAACAAGTGATTGTTGTTATAGATTTTATTTAAATCTGTGTGCAATTAAAGCTCACACAATGCCACTGAGAAAACAGCTCTTAGGGCTCTCATTAAAATTTATTTTTTCAGTTATTATTTTAAATATTTACTCTTAGCATCAAGAATCACTATCATGGGCCCAGTGCAATAGCATAGTGGTTAAAGTCCTCACCTTGCATGTGCCAGGATTCCATATGGTCGCCAGTTCTAATCCCGGCTGCTTCACAAATGTGAACCCCCTCAAAATGGCTTAAAATCTTCATCTTATATTGGCACCTGTATTTAGGGAAAGAAAACAGTTTATAAGACAAAAGAAAGTTTCTTACTGTAAAAGCCCTCTGTTTGTAGATTGGCTGAATTGCCTTGATCTCTTTCGCTGCCCTTTAACAAAAGAACAAAAAACAATTGAATCAGCACTAGGTGAAGGTGATGGTAATTAATGCATGATTTGATTATAAGAATTAGCAAAGAATCTATGTTATATGCTTTTATAAAATCCTTTCATTTATGATCTTTTAATTCTGTACTCTTAATATTTTAGGCAATATTAGTTTGATTATGTTTAGTAAAAATTGATTTTGAGTATAAAATTGATTTTGAGTATAAGTAAACTACTTGTCACTATGTAATCGCATGTGCTGCCAACTGTGGAGTTCCTGGCTTCAGCCAGGTGATTGCAGGTTTCAATGAGTAATGGTTTGTTAAAAATGTTTTCTTTGAAGTAGAAAAATATTTTTTTAGGATTGTTTCTTGCATTTTCATAACCATGATGTAATGAAAAATGAAACAATTGGATGTTGTGCAAAAGCTTGTGATGATTTCTGTATAAATAAAGAAGGCAACCTTTCTGAGTTGTCCATTATGAGCATCAAGCCATAGTGGTCCGCGTCTTATCTCTTCTTCCTATCATCTCACCGATCCACGCATCCTTTGCAAGTTCTCAGTCAGCCGGAGCTGGTCTCCGGCAGTAGACATTAATATAATACAATGTGAAATTCTTGACAAGGATCATTAAGGGAGGGAAGGGTACACTACGTTCTAGACAGTATACTTCAGTGAAGACAATTATATACTAAATAATATGACATTCACACATTTACACATCCTCTACATATTAAATCCCACATATCAGAGAAAGCATGTAAATTAATTTTTTCACTTCAATATTGCAATAAAAATTTTATCATGCATTAAGTAAGTTTTGAGGGCTATTTCTCTACTCCACAAAAATTTTTTTGGATATTCATCAAAGATACTAACTACATCAAGAATTCTTTTTATCTTTTATTTATTTGGTTGAAAGTAGAGTGATATAGTCAGAGACAGAAATACTCTATCTTCTGGTTCACTCCCCAAATGACTGCAAATGGACAAGTCTGAGCCAGCCTGCAGCCAGAAGCCTCTATATATTGAGTGGCAAGGTCCCAAGTACTTGGATCATCTTCTGCTGCATCCCCTGCACATTAGAGAAAGCTGGATCAGACAGAGCACCCAAGACTTGAACTGGTGTTCTCATGTGGGATGTTGGCATCATAAGTGCCAACTTAACCTGCTGTACCACACTGCCAGTCCCAGTTAACTCATTTTCATTGTTCTGTAGTATGTCAAGGTAGGGATGCAAAAGTGTTCGTTTAATCATTTACTCATCTAAGGACATCTGGGTTAGTTCTAGTTTTTGGCTACTGTGAATAAATCTACTATAAATATTTATGTCCAGATTTTTCTGTGAACATACGTTTTCTTTCTCTGGGATAAATGCCCAGGAGTGCATTTGTTAGTCATATTGTAGTTGCACATTTTGTTTTTTTTAAGAAGTGCCAGATTTTTTTCCAGAGTAACTGTACCATTTACATTCCTACCAACAGAGGGATTCAGTTTCTTTACATGCTCGCCAATGTGTCCTGTAACTATTTTCATTTTATTCCTTCTGTTCAGGTGTGTAATTATATCTCACCACGGCCTCAATTTTCACTGTTATATACATGTGCTTATTTACCATCTGTAGAAAGGCTGCTCAAAAAACTCATGGAAATTCATGAGAAAGCTGCACGAATTTAACAATATATTTGTGCCCCCCTTTTTATTACTCTTTTTCATGATACAGTTCCAAAGACACAGGGATTCCCACTAGCACTCTGTTTTTCTTCCTCTACTGTTTTTCCCCATATTATTGCAATAGTAAAGTCCTTCAGCAACAGACACAAGTCCGACATCTGCTATTCAATCTAGTATGCTATGCCAAGATACATTTAATAGTTTCATTGAAAGTCCTGCTTTTATTCTGGAGTATAGATGCATATTGCAACCTATCTTGACTTCTGGATATGCCTATCTCCATTATACAGTTCATGTAGGCGAACATATCCATATACACATTTACTTACATATTTGTTTATTTTATATTTTGCACGAAGGTTGCTTTATATCAGAGACAATATATGGTATCTGTCCTTTTGAAATTGGCTTATTTCACTGAGCGTAATGATCTCTAGTTGGATCATTTTGTTGCAAATGGTAGAATTTCATTCTTTTTAATGGCTGAATAGTATTCCATAGAGTATATTTACTAAAAATTTATCTTTTTCTCTTTCCACAGGCATCTGGGTTGTCTCCATAGCTTCAGTGTGGTGGATTGTGCTGCTATAAACATAGGGTTACAGGTCATGTAGATTTCATTTCTTTGGGATATATTCCCAGGAATGGGATTAGCTAATTCATATGGCACATCAGTTTTCAGCACTCTCCAAACTGATTTCCATAGTGGCTGCACGAGGGCCCACTCCCAACAACAGTCATGTACTTTTCTCTCCACATCCACAATAGCAGGTGTTCCTTAGTAGATTTCCAAATGAAGGTGAATCTCACCGGAGTTAGGTGGCACCTCAATGTGATTTTATATGTATTTCCTAATAGCTATAGAACCTAAGCATTTTTTCACATGTCTATTAGTCATTTGAATTTGTGTTTTATTTTATTTTGAAAAATGCCTGCTCATTTCTTTCATCCATTTCTCACAGGGTTGTTTATTTCCTGTCGAGTTTCTAAAGCTTTTTGTAAATCCAATAGTCCCTTTAATTGAGTCTTTTCGTTCTACTATGTAGAATCATGCTGTCTGCAGAGATAATTCCACACCCAATTTGAATTCCTTTGATTTATTTTCTTTCCTAATAGCTCTAGTTTCTAATTCCATTTTCCATGAATTTCTATGATCATATATCCTTTTTGATAAAATAGCTCTAAATATTTTTGAATTTTTTCTATTTTTTTTAAATAGCTTAATTTAAAAATTAGGTATTCTAGATACTTGTGTTGTCTGCTGTGTGTAAGTATTTTTCGTAATTTGTAGTTTGTTTTTTCATCCTCAGATTTTTTGAAATAAAAAAATTTGATTTTCAGGAAGTACAAATCATGTTTCTCCAACAGAGATTGTATATTTGGCATCAAATGTAAAAGATTTTAGTCTTTGATACAGAACATTTTTTCTGTTTATTCCTTAAAATTTCTATTTTAACATTTTGTCTGATATTCAGGTAATTTTTATATTATGTGTGAAGGATTCGTAAAATTTAATGTTAAACTGTTCTACTTAATATGACTTTATTTTATCACAATATTATGTATTTCTGGGCTGTTTCATTTTACAATCTCATTTTTAAATATATCTTCAAAATATTTTTTATTCAAATATAATCCATACACCATAAAATCATTTAATTAACACCAACAAAAAAGAATGCATAAATTCTTTTGATATATGTTGATATATTGATAGATGTTGTATCATCACTACTATTGATTTAATTGATTTCGTAAAATTAATTAGATAAGAAAACCTTGCTCCGTCTAGCAGTCATTATTTTCTTCCAAAGTCAAAATAAACTTTAAGATTCTATTTGTTTGCATATTGCAGAAATTTCATATGAACTAATTTATACAACATATGATATATTGTGTTGATTTCTGACATAGACCATAATATTTTCAAGGTTCATCTATATTGCAGCAAGTGTAAGTGTCCCTTTTTATGACTGAATAACATTCCATTGTGTGGATGTACTGCATTTTGTTTTTGAGTCCATCAGTTAATGA